TTTGCAAACAAACAAAACTAGTACTGAGATTTGAGAACTGAGATTTAAAGCGTAAATCTGTAAGCCATTTTTAACATAGAATACTTGAGATTTGGCCATACTTTTTTCTATACTAGTCAGGAAGCTTAATCTATGTGTGTATGTATATGCTAATCTATGTGTATATATATATATATATATATATATATATATATATATATATATATATATATATATATATATATATATATATATATATATATATATATATATATATATATATATATATATATATATATATACAAATCGAAGGATCTTCTAAACAAATGTATAAAGATTTAGAGCAGGCTTGGATGGATAGTTATTACCCTAGTGTTAGTAAAGCAGGGATTTAGAAGAAAAACAGTACGTTTCCAATTATCCTGAAGTATGATCAGAAGACTCAAGCTTCTAAAGCTAACTTTATTGTTGCCTCATTCTTTTCTCTTTTTTAATTTTTGAAATTCAGTAAATGCCCTTGTGGCATACAAAGCTGTTAAAATCTTAATATCTTTACCCAAAGCTTGTTACCATGGCAATGGCTAATCTTGTTCTTGACAGATCTATTAAAATTGCTGTCATAGGGAAGCTATTTACTAATTTATTAAGCTATTTACATTCCTTATTCCAAAAAGAAAGCTTTAGGCTTAAAAGCTCCTGGGAGGATATATTGAAAATTCTCTATTTTCAGAAAAATTCATTTTTTCATTAAAACAGTTTTTACATGTAGATGTTACCAACATATAAGTAAAACATTGGGATAGACTATTTATATGGAGCGTAATGGCGTAATAGACTATTTATATGGAGCGTAATGTACCTTAGCATGTTGGATTTCTGAAAAATGGTAAATTTTTACTGAATTAGGGTCACCCTAATACACAACCCTTGGAATATGAATAAATGAGGTCAGCAATTTATTGCCAATCTTAAACTGTTAGAGGTTTAGCATCAGGTTAGCAAAAAAAATTTGACTCAAAGGTTCAACCATAAAACATAGAAATAAGGTTGCCAATTTTTTGCTAACCTCAAACACTTTAAGGTCAACAGTTAGGTCGGTATTGCTGAATGCCGACCCTAATTCCTAAGGCTGAATATATATATATATATATATATATATATATATATATGTATGAATGTAACATAAATCTTTATATACATATATATACATATATATATATATATATATATATATATATATATATATATATATATATATATATATATATATATATATATATATATATATATATATATATATATATATATATATATATATATATATATAATATATTTATATATATACATGTATGAATGTAACATAAATCTTTATATACATATATATACATATATATATATATATATATATATATATATATATATATATATATATATAATATATATATATATAATATATTTATATATATACATATATATATATATGTATGAATGTAACATAAATCTTTATATACATATATATACATATATATATATATATATATATATATATATATATATATATATATATATATATATATATATATATATATATATATATATATATATAATATATTTATATATATACATATATACATATATATATATATATATATATATATATATATATATATATATATATATATATATATATATATATATATATATATATATATATATATATATGTATGAATGTAACATAAATCATTATAGACATAAAGCGACCCAGTTTCTTGAATTTTTCAATAAGCTTTTCAACTGGTTGTTTTTAATTAAGGTCCTTTCAATATCACACCAAGCTTCCTTTTCAACTTTGTCATTGCTCTTTTGAGTTTCTCTGACTTTAATAATCCTTTTTTTGGGACTAACATATATATCACCTTTATTCCTTACCTTAGATAGCATTGAAAACCTTAGACAAATTTCTTGTAAAGCATCTTCACCAAAAGACTTTTACAAACTGTTTTACAAATCCTAGTTTCACATGGGGTAAAAGAATTTATTGGAACCTACAAGAGGCTACTTGAGAGCAATAAACAATTCTTGCGATAGTTCCACTTGTGAGGACCATGAACTTTTCTTTCAATGATCACTAATGAACTTTCTTGTAATGATCATTATTAGTCCTGCTGTCCCATAAGCAATGTAAACATGAATACTTTGTGTATCTTTTATACCTTTATATACCTTTTACTATCTTGAAATCAACACAAACATCCCACTTGAATTCAGATAACCAATTTTTCAAAAAGTTCTTTGACATTATTATAGTCTTCTTTCTTCTGCACCAAGTGTACAAGAGACAAAGATGAGTATTTATTTCCATTTTTGAACACTTTTTTGAGATAAAAATACCTAAAAACATATCCATGCTAATGAAAAATGTTTTGCGCAATTAAATGATAAGTTTTTCCCCATTTTAGATTTGACATCTAATAAGTTAGAGTTAAAAGTTAAAGAAAGCATGCTTATAGAACGCTTACAT